TTAGTAAACAAGATGGGTAAGGAATTGGCAAAGGAGATTAGTACCCGAGAACGAGTGGGTAAAGACTTAAAGAGTGTCAGTGATGTCCTTAAGGGAAAGAAGAAAGAGCTAGAGAAAGCTCATTTGGAGATATCCAAGTTCAACACTCAATGGAACACCATACTAACTAACAACAAAGAGAGAAAAGATACACTCCGTCAACAGGTTGATAGTTTGAAAGCCCAGCTTTGAGTCAGAACTGAAAAAGCTCCAGGTGAATACATGTGCCTACTAGAAAGCGACCGCAAACTCCATGAAGCTCTTGCAATGTTGGAGCAATACAAGCTGAGAATAGACTTGAAGAAACCAAGACTTGAAGACGCTTTTGGGGAGGATTACAAGTCATTTAGGCAAGTTTGTGCATTTCAGCATGCAACATTTTTACACTCACGAACCATGCGCATGAATTGCATTTTGGTGCACACAAAACATTGTCAAAACTGAACCAACACATGATGTACCTCTTTGCTCCATTTTTGAATTTTCTTGCCCAAAAAGGAAGAGACGAGTAACCTTTGTTCTCTCCTTGTCGGCCTTTCTTTTTTTTCCGCAGTGATGTGACAATTAACACTGCAATAACTTATTTTAACTAACTAATTACCGATTCTTTAGAATATTTACTCTTAAGTCCTTAGTGAGAAAACCTTTAATCGTCTACCCCTAATTCCTATGTCCATTGAGAATTATAAGTGAGATTAAGTAATCAATTATCAAGAATTATTTCGACTCCTATAGGGTATCCCTAGTCCTAAGTGATATCTACTACAGAATGATCAAAAAGTTGCCTGCTAGATATCTGCTACAAAAAGTTGTCTGCTCCAGACCTCCTGGCACAGGTCGTGTCAGGTGACACGGGCACCCGTGTCAGACCACTGTTCAACCCTCAACTTTCACTTTCTTGGTACCATCCTAACACGAGCAATGTCAGGTGACACAGATGGTCGTGTCAGGCCCCTGTTTCACTTTTAAAACTCTTTCGAATTACTGTTGTTTTTCCTGTTTTTTGCCCTGATTTTTCTTGATTATGTACCTGGACCTAAAAACAATGGAAATACCAAACCAACATATAGAATGCGATAAATGGACATAAAATGCAACTAAACGTATAAGACAATTAACTAAAACTCATGGTAAAATAACGTATAAAAATCACTGATCAAATTCCCCCAAACTTAAACTGTTGCTTGACCTCAAATAATAAGCTCAGATTAAAAAAATTCAGATTAACCGGTATATATCAAATAAAAGACTTGTGACAGTAAGGTGTGTCGATACTCATACGTGAGTCTTTGTTCCAATCGGTTAAAACTAGTTCTCTTGGTGATCGTCCGTTAACAAAGATATTACACAAACACATACCGCGGTAAAACCACATACCTAAATCCCCCTTTCGGCCACCTCTTCAACTATGCTTTGGGCCTAAGTCTTTTCTTCGATTTTCTACCCCTTTCATTCAGATAATCAGATTAAGACACTTTTGATCGCTTTCCCTCACGTGTATAAAACTAGATCGAGAATTTTTCAAGGCACCTTTATTCTTTTTTTCTCGCGCATTAGCATTTATTAGTCCACTTTGGGACGACTATATAGATTCAAGCGCCATTAGGCTAAATAATCGGGTGAGGGTTACCCAACTTAGAAGGATCAGTTGTCTTTACTGTCATTATTCATCATTTTTTGTTGTTACCATAAGTCATTCTCTCAATCAACTTTATACATGCAATTCTTTTTAATTGTGTCGGACCATCACTATAAACTAATCGGGGAATACTTCTCAAATCCAAGTACTATGACACAAATCTACACGTTGGACTTGTTACCTTTGAGGAATCTAGGGTCTGTTATACCCCAAATTTGTCCTACCTTTTTTCAAAATTTTCATTTGCCCGACTTTATTTTTAATTTACCTCGCTTATACAGCGTAGCGTATTTTTCAATAAAAATGAGCATTTTTACTTTTTTAGCCCAATAAGAGCATGCCACGTGGCATTTGTTTTTTGTATATATCTATCATTATTTTTGTTTCATAATTTCATTTTTATGATAGGTTAATATAATATTTTTTTAATATTAATTTTAATTAGTTTTGAATTAGAAATTAGGATTTAAATTAAAATTTTTAATTAGATAGATTTAATTTAGAACTTAATTATAACTTAGAAATTTTAATTTAGAAAAAAATAGATTTAAAAAAAAATAGAGTTAGAATTTAATTAGGATTTATATTAAAAATTAGATTAGAGTTTAATTTAGTAATAGTTAATATAATATAATAGAGTTAGGATTGATTACTAAATTATTCAGAAAAATTAATTAAAGAAAAAAAACAAAAATATGAAAGTTGAAAAAAAAGACACGGTTGGATGGAATTGAAAATTAGGGTTGATTTGGGATAAATAGGAGACTCAGCTACTGTTCACAGGGAACCCTAAAAAAGAGGGGAAAACTCTGTTCACCCAGACCCCAAAAACCAGCCGCCCCAAATTCAAAACCCTAAGGACTGTTCACAAAAAAACCTAAATTAAGCTACTGTTTCCAAACCCTAATCGGCCGCCCCCCAAAAAAGCCCTAAATCGGCGCCGGATCCTCAACCCTAGAATCCCTCATCTCATGAAATCCTCATCACCATATCCATTTTCCTTCAACCCTTTCCCACTCATCATCACCTTCAACAGATGAAAATAACTCTCCTTCTCCCTCGTTTCATCGCAAGCCTTCGCGAAACGGCATAACCCCATCTCCAAATCACTCTGTCACTACCATCCAAACCGTCTTCCTCCTTTGATCCTTTCCAACTTCACGATATTTTTTTCAGTTAAAAGAAAACCCCACGATTTCTCCACTTCAAATAGCAGACAGAGGCTTCACGTAGGTGACTATGATGTCGCGAGGGTGTTATTGGTAACATCGTCGCAACTCAGTAAACCTCTAGTAGCTTTGTGCGACTCGCATACGAGAGTGTTCGACATTGGTACATGAGCTTGGAGCTTATAGACATTTCAACTCTAATAAGGAATCGACAGTAAGCTCACCATCAACCAACAATAGAACTGCTGGTTATTTAGATTCAGATTCGCACTTGTTCATATTGCCGGTCACGCGTTTGCCATGGATATATGGGTACTGCTACGGCATGGATATGGTTAGTATCAACAAGTCAACATTACAAACCCATCCACTGAACTCAGTAACCACACGGTGTCAATCTTAGGCGTCGACTCTTCTTTCAAACTCAAGCTTCAAATCGTGAACAGAGGTGCTGGATTCTGCTGTAGATATATCAAGAAAGCAAATGTGTTGAGATGGTTTTCAGTTTCGCGTATGAGGCATTGCGAGGATACTGGTTCAAAACACGTAAAGATGATGGTGCTGCCGTTGAGACTCGCCACGAGATTCAACTTAACAGGATGCCGTAAGAAGTGTGTAGGCATCGGCATTGGCATCTTCCACAACCACAATCACAACAATAGCTCAAGGCAGCAATTCACCATAGCCTCGACATGTTTCAAACAGACAGCCACTCAAATGATGTTTCTGATTCAATTTTGTTTTGTAGGTTTTTTTTGCGTTTACTGCGTTTGTTTGGCCTGTTGTTTTTGTTAATTTTGTGTGTGTGCAGGTTCTGAGTCCCATCCACGGTTTACATCTAAACACAAACACCAAACGCCGTTAAGGCATTTGAGATACAGATAGCAGCAAGTTGGAACAATAACGCTCTAGCCACCACAGATTAACTTCAGCAACAGCTCTGACTCGACCAAAGATGGCTACCGCAAACACGATGATAAATTTTGTGTGATTTATCAGATTCAACATCAGTGCAATCTCTGTGTAGATTCAATGAACAACTCATATCCCCCGCATTCATTCACGGCGACGACATTGACGGTTCACAGAGAAATATCGACATCATTCCCCCATATGCTCACTTGAATCATTCTCAGATCCTGGTAGCACAAAGATTGCAGCAGCAACATTGTCGCTCGGTTTCACACACTCGAACATACAACGATGTCATCGACCGTGTATCGAAGCTGCTCATTCTAATTTCGTCAAAAGCTTCGACTCATTTTGTGGCAGTGCTAGTCAACTCAATGACAACAATGATCTCAGGCAACGAATGAACTCACCACCGTGAATCAACTCTGAGCAGCAACAACTTCTTTTTCCCAAAGGAACAATTCTGTTACCTCCCTCGAGCGTGATTCACGGTCCTATGTATATTGTGCTGTTTGTTATTTTTTTTTCAGGATTTCTTTATCATTTCGATGATGTGGCTCGAATATAATTGTTTCCATATCTGGGAGCTGCTGTTGTCATTGCGTTAGTGTTGCCGCTAAGCGTTCAAACTCAACAAGTACGCGTTCGGTCTTGAAGCAGTCAAATTACAGTCCTCTCTTCTCTTCGAGCAACGGTAAAGCTTTCAACAACAAACTTGCCAATGTAATAACGCAGAAGGCTTGGTTCTGTTCCTAGCTACCACTGTTGTGACTGACTCGACAATGGTTTGTGTAAGGTTGCTTTGACTTTATGGTGCTATATCGTAACTCGAAGGTATAGGCTATGGATATAATTCAATTCGCAGCAACTATAATTTTCAATTTGGCGTATGAATTAATGACTTTCTTCATTTAGTTTTAGTACATATTTTGTTTTGATTACAATACTCGAGCTTGTTTACGTTCTTGTATGGAGTTGTGTTAATTCTGTGCAGGTTATCGACATTAACTTCGATTCCACGTCCAATAAATTCAATGGTTTTCTATAAAACCCCCTCACTTCATCACTATTATGTTTCAAATCAACAACGGTAAACAAGGCTCTGAACGACACAGACCACTACGAGGTTGCTTACGGTAATGCGACAAAACCAGTAACTGCACGACGATGCTGCCAATGTTTATGGTGTTCAGCACCGGTAGATTTCACGTTATTGCAGCTTCATGACTTGGTTTATACAAATGTCTTCGGTCGCATGCTGTCAAGAATACTCCCAGCCACGTCTCATCTCAAAGCCAACAAGTTCTGATGACGACGTCGTGATGGTAAAAATTTCGCAAGAGCAACATAACTCAGCTTGTTTCCTACATTCTCACGATTCAACTATTCAATAAGGGTAACAAGCTTTCCTGCTGCGTTTTTGGGTTTTGTATTTCGTTTTGCCTCAGTTCTGATCTGATTTTGGCTATGTGGTTTGGTATTCTATGTTTTGACTGTAAGTTTTGTTAAAATTATGGTTCTACGTACACTGTTTTGGATGATTTTATGAATGTTTGCTTTCATACCAATTTCATGTCATATTTTGTGTGTATGGTTTCAATTGACTGTTGGCTGCACCATAAATACCGAAGCCATTTTCCTTTCTGTTTTTCTTTGGTGTATGCAGGTTATAGATTCGAGATTCAGAAGTTGAAACCGATTCGGTTCACGTCAACAACATCACAGTTTACCGACGACGTGCAAGATTCAGTAGTGGTTCGTTGCTCAACATCAACATCGCACTAAATTGACGGTTTCAACACCAACAACGTTAACAGAACTGCAACATCCGTAACAGTGACAACAACTTGGAGTGACTCTGAATATTGGTTTGATCAGCGGTGCCAACGATAGGTTGACGGAAACCTCAAGAAGTTGAACTCAGCAGGGACACTTTCTGTTTCAAAATGTTAGAGCTGCACAATGATGAAGTCAAGTAACAAACAACCTCCTTCCAAGCAAAGCGATAAATCCGACTCACGCTTTCGTTTTGAGCCTTTTTTCAGGATTATGGACTATGTCGTAAACGGTTCGCATGCCCTGTTCTTAAACTTTCATTTTATTGTTATTTTGTTTACTTATTATAAATTTTAATATTAGGTGATCATTTTAAGAAAATTACTTTTTTCATAATTCAAATATTCTATCATTTATTTTCTATTAGCTATTTATTAATGTAGTTATTCAAAATCAAATGAGTGACAATATTAAATTAACAAGTAACTAATTACTTGATTTTTTACAAAAATGATTAAAATTCTTGGTGCAACGCCAACCAGTCTTTTTGAAATCTTGAGTGCTTCATTTCAAATCGACTAGATAATTCTCAATGCAGTTTCTCAAATATTTTTCTAATTAATTTATTGAAGATAGTGGGCTCTTGGGGTCTAGCATCCCTTGAGTCCTTGAAACAACTGTTCTCGAGGCGCACGCCCTTGAGTTACGGTTGTTCCATTTTTTGATTTTCAAAACTGTTTTCACTCAATTCAATTAAAATTTCTAAAAAGATATTTTTAAATCAATTTTTATTAATTAGATATTTTTATAATAAGTTCTAATTATTATTCTTTTAAAAGCTATATATTTCAAAATTATTATCAAATAATATTTTGAATATTAGAAAATTATACTTTATTAATTAAGTTAAAACTTTTTCTAAGATATTAAATTTTTTCAAAAACAATTAATTAGCTTTTCTTAAAATCTCTTTTTATAAGAAATTGATTAAATTATTTTATATGAAAATTAAAATTAGTTTTCTTAATTAAATTAGACTATTTTTCTCAAACAAATTTCAAAACAATTAACTTCTTGGATCTCGCCTTCCTTGAATTTTTAAGCGACCGCTCTCGAGGTGCACACCTTGAGTTGTGATCCTTCCGATCTTATCTTCTAGAATACCTAGCGCGCCTAGTCCGAGTACGCTAATATTTTCAAATTGTTTTCATAATTAAATCACGAAATAATCGAGTTCTTGGAGTCACGCATTCCTCGAATTCGAGAGTGACTACTATTGAGGTGTACACCTTGAATAATGTGTCATTCGAACTTTCGTTCTTAAAACACTTCCTATGATTATTTGGACAAGTATTTACTGTCCAACAAACACCATTTCATAATTAATGGGATGAAAAAAATGTCGTTGGGATCTAGCATTCCAACGATATCCCGACTAATTGGTTACGAGACCGACGTCTCGCTTATCGAATATTCGTCATTTCTCCTAAATGTTCAACCCATCTAACCTCGTTCCTCGCCTCCGTGCGATCGAGTCTAAACCCTAGTATGTTTGTAAACCGTGCGTCAAATCCAAACTATTTTCTTGATTAAATTGCGAAAGAATGGAGTTCTTGGAGTCTCGCATTCCTTGAATTCTTGAGTAATCACTCTTGGGGCGTACGCATTAGGTTATGGATTAATCGACCTTTCATCTATAAAATACATGCCCTAACTATTTGGACTAATATCGCCATCGTCCATTCAAATATAATTTCATAATTGATTGAATGAAAAAGGTATTGTTGGGATCTAGCATTCTAATAATATCCCGATTAATTGATTGCGAGACCAGCGTCTCGTTCATCGAGTAGTCGTCATTCTCCCTTAAAATATTCTATCCAACTCTCTTCTCTCGCCCTCGTGCGATTGAAACTTTCTCAAACATATTTCGTAATTATTCGAATGAAAAAGGTGTCGTTGAAATCTAGCATTCCAATAATTCCCCGATTAATTGATTGCGAGGCTGACGGCTCATTTATCGAATAGTCGTCATTCTCCATCAAATAACCTAACCAAACTCCTCTTTCTCGCCCCATGTGATAGAGACCTTAAACCTATTCAAATCCATTCTCTTTCCCAAACCAAAACATCCAATGCGATAAACACAAATTCCTCGCCCTCGTGCGATTTCCAACCAAAACACCTTTTGTTAAGAACATTGTTTAGTTCATTCTTCCGCGCATAACAAACTCGAGTTTCAGCCTCCCCTAGCGAGCAGACAAGCCAATGTTTAGCAGTTAGAATGCGACCTAAACACTCGTTCATTCTCAAGCCTTTTTACCGTAGTTGGCCGAACTACGGCTGCTCTGATTTCTCACATCCGTTGAGAATACGTAGGCATAGGATTGCGATGATCCTAGCGAGCACTTTTCCACTTTTCTTTCTTTCCCACCTTTAGGTTCGCATACCTTTTACCAAAGAACATTGTTTAGTACCTTCTTCCACGCATAACAAACTCGTGCTTCAGCCTCCCCTAGTGAGCAGACAAGCCAACGTTTAGCAGTTAGAATACGACCTAAACACTCGTTCGTTTCCAAACCTTTTTACCGTAGTTAGCCGAACTACGGCTACTCTGATTCTTCATTCTTCTTTGAATGTAAGATACGTAGGCACAAGATTGCGATGATCTTGGCGAGCACAATCCCCTCTTTTTCCCGTAGTCCCACGAACTACGAATGCTCTGATTTTCCACTTCTTACAAGTGAAGATACGTAGGCACAAGGGCCCCAATCCTTGGTGAGCACCCTATCTAAACCACTCATTCCCCCCTATAGGAGAAACCTTAGAAGAAAACAAACAAGCATAGTTAACTTTACTCTCGAATCGAATCAAGAGGTTCCCGTTGAGTACAACAGACGTAGAGGGTGCTAATACCTTCCCTCTGCGTAACCGACTCCCGAACCTAGAACATTGGTTGCGATGACCATGTTCTTATCTCTCTTAAAGGTTTTATCGATATTTTCCTATTCCATCCTTGGAATGAATAAAGTTCGGTGGCGACTCTGTTCGAACGTATTTTCCGCGTCCATCGCGAGGATCGTATTTTTCGAGGTACGACAGGGTGTTCAGGTTATGCCTTAGGTTTCAAACTTTCCCAAATCCCCTTGTTTCAACTCCTCTTACCTCAAACTCTACTTACTTTCTTGACTACTTAACACATCATAGTATTCACAAGAAACATTTTATAGTCCTCATTCGGGGAGAGTTCACAGCGATTTTTAAACAAAAGGACCCACACACAAATAAAAATTGCTTAACACGAAAACTCAAAACAGTAAAAACTCCCCCAAACATGAACTAAACATTATCCTTAATGTTTTAGAACATTTGTGGGAGAGATGTATTCACAGAGATCCTTACTGAGGAGTTAGAGGGTAATGCAACACTCTAGCTTGTAAGGTCTCGTTTATTGCTTGCAAGCAAAACAAAATAACAACAAAAAGAAAATGCTTAATTATTAAAAACGTGGGTTGCCTCCCATGCAGCACTTCGTTTAACGTCACAGGGCTCGACGGATCACTCCCCATTGTTATGGGGGGTACTTCAGCTTCCACACTTTGTTGCTTGACCTTTCTGCAACAGAGGGTCGGTCAGGTTCAGAGATCATTGCAGCTTTGTGTATCAGATTACATCCAACTTTTCTATTCTTTACTCCTTGAATGAATTTTAGAGTCTCGCTATGTGCTTTAGATTCCTGAGATATTGCAACCTAATAAATTACATCAGAGACTTTTTCCATAAGTGGTTTGGAAATTTGACCTTTTTTCACTGTTTTGATCATTCCAACTAAAGGTTGATGATTTTCCTCTTTACATCACTTCTTGATGTCCAACACTTTTAAAGTTATTTCTCCTTCAAAAGATTTCAATGTTAGAGTACCTGTTTCAATATCAATATTGCACCGGCTAGTGAGAAAGAATCTCCGGCCAATTATGATGGGAGTCTCTTCATCTTCTGGAATATCCATAACCTCAAAATCAACTGGGAAGGTAAAGTTATCAATCATCACCATTACATTCTCTGCTAGCCCATATGACCTCTTAGTCGCGTGGTCGAAAAACTTCAAGTTTGTTCCGTATCGGTCACTTTTCCAATACCCAGATTTTTGAAAATAGATAAAGGCATGAGACTCACACTAGCACCTGAATCAACGAGGACCTTCTTGAAATTTCTGTCTTTTATAAAGCAAGGAATTGCTACCGGTCCAGGATCTTTCTGCTTAACGGGGATTCTCCTTCCTTGTGATATTTCACTATATCGCTCAGTTGAGATTTTCTGCTCCTTACCCATTGGTCTCTTTTTTTTCCATTACCTCTTTCATGAATTTCTTGTACAAGGGCATTTGCTCGAGTGCTTCAAAGAGCGACATATTGATTTCTAACTTTTTGAGCACTGTGCTGAACTTTTCAAAGTCTTTCTCTTTCTGATCCTTCTTTATAACTCTCTAAGGGTAGGGTAGCTTGATTATTGGTTTAACCTCCTATTTCTTTTTCTCTTCAGTTGGCTTCACAGATGGTAAGTCTCTTTCCGGTTCTTTCCCGTTTTCTCTCACTTCAAGCTCAACTTCTATACACTGATAATCATTTGTTTCTTTTTCTTCCTATTCTTCAACGTCTCTCTAACTTCTTGTGGTGACAATATTAACATTCTCAAGATTTTTTGGATTCGGTATGGTCGCGCTCGGGAGGGTTCCTTGAGTATGCCTGGAGAGTTGTTGGGCTATTTGTCCCAGCTGAACTTCAAGATTTTTTATAGTAGCTGTGGTGTTCCTCTGATTAATCCGTGTTTCTTCTTAGAATTGAATATTGTAAGCTGCCATCTTTTTAATAACTATTTCCCATTCTGCTTTCTAAGTAGCCTATTGTTGTTGTTGATATTAAGGTTGATTATGATCTTTCCAGGAGAAGTTAGGATGATTCTTCCACCCTGGATTATAAGTCTAAGAATAGGGATTATTCTTCTTCATA